GGAAGCCTAGATGTAGGGATCCTACCTTTATACCTTTTGTCAACAGACCTAACATTATTCTTCTACAGGAAACATGGCTTGAAGAAGAAATATTCATAGAGGGTTATAAATTTACGGGTCTGAATGCTATCCCTGGTAAAGGTAACGGGAGACTATGTGGTGGGTTAGAGATGCTGATATCTTTGGAACTCAAGGTTCAAATAATTAAGGTCTCTGTATTGGAGCAGTATGCCCTAGCTGTTCTCTTGAAGCTTAATAATAATTTACTATACTTGACTAATATCTATATTCCCCCACTTCAGGGTCGGGATAAGATAGTAAGCATATGGAATAAGATTAATTCTTTTATCAAAGGTTTAATGTTTGAGACGCCTATGGCCAATCTCATTGTAGCTGGGGATCTTAATGCTAGAATGGGAGCTGACGATGTGTCTTTGTACTTTTGATGAATTAAATTTAATTATCCTTAATGGTAGCTTTAAGAACGATTATCCAGCAGAATACACACACTGGGCAGATTCCAGACCATCGATCCTTGACTATATGGGGGTTTCACCAAACTTAATTTCCCATATTTCCAAGTTTGCTATTATTAGCAGACCCGACAGTGATCATTTTTCAGTCTCCTTGTGCTTAGAATTTCATGACAGTTTCATCTTACCTCTTGATCAGATCTCTATTTGTGCAAATGATGTTGGTCTAACCCGTGTCAAATGGTCCCTCCAGCTGTCTAACACCCTCACTAAGTTTCTGTCCAGCGAACCAATTAAGTTGCTTTCTCTTGCAATAGCAGACGCCAAATTGGACTATGAAATATTGTCTAATTATAACACTTTAATTAGCTCTTTACAACCATTGCTAACTGTTTCCAAAGGTAATTCTGTTAGATATAAACCAATACGTCACCAGAATTGGTTTGATTCAGAATGCAAAGAACTTTGGGCTCACCTCAAACATCTCTTCAAGCAACATAAATTAGACCCAATACATTTCCCTGTATCTGAACTTCTGGAACAGAAGAAAAGATACAAGTTTCTAGTAAGACAAAAGAAAAAAGGTGCCATGATAGATTCTTGGAACAGGCTAATTATGTCAGCTAGCACAAGCAATCCCAATTTATTTTGGAAAGAGGTTACCCCTTCATTCATTAAGAATGCTAACATTCTCAAAGCTCAGATTCCAGCCCATATATGGGAAAGTCACTTTTTCAATCTTTATGATTCTGTAGACAGTTCTTCAAGTTCATTAGTTTATGATCTTATGACACAGGTTTCGGTTCTTCCTCCTTGGCCTCCAGTCTCGCATTCTGAGATAAAGAGTCTTATTACCTAACTTAAACCTGCTCGTGCCCCAGGTGCTGACTTCATAACTGGCGAAATACTTAAAAATAATCTTGATTGGTGGGTCCCTGTCCTTTCCAAATTATTTACGGCCATTGACAGATCCACTTCCATTCCTAAAGACTGGGGTCTGGCCATCATTATTCCGATCTATAATAAAGGTAATAGAACTGACCCTTCTAATTTTTGACCAATTAGTCTTTTGAGTTTGGTAAGCAAGTTGTATACAAAACATCTCTTAAACAAGCTCTTAGACTGGCTCGAGTCTGAGGACATTCTGATGGCAGAACAGGCAGGCTTTTGGCCCGGATGCTCCACTATCGATCACACAGTGATACTGCACTACCTTGTTGAAAAATATCTCCATTATGGTCAACCGCTATATGCGGCATTTATTGACTTTAAGTCCGCTTTTGACTCAGTTAATAGATCTAGACTATGGGAGAAATTACTGTGTACCAACATAGTTAAGCGACTTCTCCTGCTTCTTATTAAGATCCACGAGAATTCTAATATCAATGTTAGATGCAGCCCTCAAGGACATGTCACTAAGACCATCTCTGTTAAGACGGGGGTAAGACAGGGATGTGTTCTGGCCCCTATCCTGTTTAATTTTTATATTTATTCTCTTGTTTCTGTTTTAACAACCTCTCTTTTCATCCTCCAAAGCTGGCCAACAAGCATATCAACTCATTGCTTTATGCGGATGATGTTGTTATTCTTTCGTTATCTCCCGTTGGACTCAAAAGAGTCTTAAACTCTATTGCGTTGTTCTCCAAAGAGGAGAAATTAATAATTAACTCTTCGAAGACCAAGATTCTTGCCTTTGCTCATCGCCCCAAATTGATGCAATGGACTCTTGATAGACAACATCTAGACCAGGTTAAGACTTTTAAATACTTGGGAACAGTGTTTCAGAACACGGGTAGGAGATCTGCCCATTTAGAATTTGTTATCAGTAATGCCCAAAGAACCGTAATGGCTATACTAAGATTCTTTTTCAATAAAGGTGCTCAGTTTATTCCGGCCACAATCAAATTGTTTAATGCTAAGGATCGCCCTCAACTTC